AACAACAACAACAACAACAACAGCAATCCACTACCAGGTGGCTTTTAGGGGAGCCCTATCAAAGAAGGATATTTTTCCCCATGTATGCAAGAATGTGAGTAAAAGTGACAACTGTCGTGTCTGTCAGAAGCTTTAAGAGTCATTAAGAGATTTAGACACATTCCTTGTCTATCTTCCAAGAGAGTGGCATGTTCCAATTCAGGACTATCTTTCAGCCCAGATCACAGAATGAAGAAGTGTGGATCGGGGCCAACGCCTGCTTGCAGCCTGGACCACAGCCATAGCTGCTCGGACTCATGGTGGATGTGTGACCTGTATAAAAATAGACCTTTGTTTTTGCAAGTCATCGAGAGCTTGAGGTTGTCTGACACCACGGCATAATAGAAGGCAGTGAGTTGCCTACCAAACCAAAGGGAAACAGTTCGAACCCACCAGCTTTTTCATCCTGTTTCCTACCTGTAGAAAGTTAGAGGTGCAGGAGTTATTTTACATCCCTAACACCCCGTGAGTGTCAGGGTAGAACTGTGCTTTGTGGGCTTTTTCATGGCTGGCTTTTCAGAACTGGATCCCAAAGCCCTTCTTTCTAAGTACTTCTGGTGGGTTGGCAATCATGTGCGTTGTCCATTTGCACCACGTAAGGATTCTACAACATAACATAGCAAAGGCTAACTGGTTACCTGGCTTGATAGTATTCTTCAATGTTATTGTTGTTATGTGTTGTCTAGTCACCTGCGACTCATAACGACTCTACGTACAACAGCTTTATCCTGCGCCAACCTTATTGTCTCTGACACATCTATACCCATTACCCCAGTCACTGAATCAATTCATCTCATTGAGGGTCTTCCTCTCTTGCACTGTCCTTCCATCCTCCCAAGAATGATGTCCATCTCAAGGACTGGACCCTCCTTCCAACATGTCCAAAGTATGTCAGACAGAACTTCAGAATCCTTGCCTCCAAAGAGCAGCCTGGCTTCACCCTCTCCAGGATGAACCTGTTTGTTGTCCTAGCAGTCCGCGGTATATTCAATACTCTTTTCCAGCACCACGGCTCAAAGGCATTTCTCCTATCATTGTCCAGCTTTCTGATACATATTAAGTAATTGCAAAGACCATGGCCTGGATCGGGTGCACCTCAGTCTCCAGGCTGACATCATTGCTCTTCAGTACTTTTGAGAGGTCTTTGACAGCAGACTTTCCTAATGCAATTAGGCTTTTAATTACATAGTTTGCTGGTACCAAGGATGTTGATTGTGGAGCCAAGCAAATGAAATCTGTTAACAATCTCAATTTCTTCACTATCTATCATGATGTTGCCAATTGGCCCAGTGGGGATAATCTTTGTTTTCCTGATGTTGAGATTCAATCCACATTGAAGGCTGCAGTCCTTAATCTTCAGCACCAGGCACTTCAGGTTTTCCTCAGTTTCAGCAAGCAAGTTTGTGTCATATAAATAACGCAGATTGTTGATGAGTCTTTCTCCAAGCCTGATACCACATTTCTCCTTATAGAGTCCAGCCTCGCGGATGATCTGTCCTGCATATAGATCAAACAGGTATGGAGATAGGACACATCCCTGTCATGCATCCTTCCCAATTTTGAACCATGCAATGTTTCCTTGTTCTGTTCTAACGACTGCCTCCTGGTCCAAGTATAAGATTCTTCAATACAGATGGATTATAGTTTAAAAGATCCCCTATTGTTGCTGTTCTGTTGGCCTGGTGGCAATAAACTGTGCCAAAATCCCAAAAGCATGTGATTCAAAGCCAGCAGTTGCTCCGCGGGAGAAAGATGAGCAATCTCCTCCCACGTGATTAAAGGCCTCTGAAAACCTGCTGGAGGGTCAGCTATGGCTCGGTTCCAACTTTACGGTGCACAACACAACACACACATTGTTCTTGTTGGGTGCTGTACAGTCAACTATGACTCATAGTGACCTTGTAAACAACAGTTCTGCACCCTGTGCTAACTTGTGCCATCTCCTATTGAGGAACATTCAGATTGTTTCCATATTTTGTTATTTCCAGTTAGGCTGTAATGATTACCTTCATACATATTGACGTCAAAAGTCTAGTCCCACCAAGGTCCAGTATTTCTCTTGAGAGCTTTGCCCATCTCATTCAACATGAGAATGAACTGGACTTCCGTCTTTTCCCTAGGAAGGGCTCAACTATGGGGAATCCTCCCAGTCCCTGAATCAGAGCTTATCATAAGCCCCCCCTTATGACATCATAGCTCTCCTCTCTGTCCTTCCCACCTTACCATGGCTGGGGAAGCAGAGTTGACCAGAAGGATGTTGAATGGTCTTTTCCCAAGCCAGGGTTCTCAGTGTCGTGTAAGAGACATTCAGACCTTCATGAAGACATTAAGACCTGTATGAAGTTTGCTGAGTTTTATCCTTGAAAACTTCAGAACGAGGGAGCTCCCAGGAAAGGGAGAAAACCCCATGACTGAACAGAATCATTGAGGAATAACCAGGGCCTCACTCACACTCATATCTGTTCTCCTATATTTTTATTGTAGAAACAAGAAAGCATGAAGAAAAAAATAAAGCAAAGATATTTTTATAAAGCAGAGGTACCATCTTCCAAGGAGGAGGAGGTGGGTGGAGACCACACAAAACTGAGAAGCCAGACCCTTATTGGTCTTTGACCCCTGATGTCTCTCTGGGGATTGCTGGTGTCTTGGCCATGATCAGGAACTTAATATCAGAGAGGGTAAAGAGAATTACGAGTCTTTTCTTCATCTACCACTCAGTCTGAGATTGTGGGTCTGACTGAGACTTGGCAAGATCCAAGAGGCAGGAAGATGTGAACCCAGAGTGCTCTGGGCTTAGGGGTGTGGAGATGAGTGCTGGACTTGGAGAATGCAACAGTGAAGTATGGGAAACCTGGAGTGTGTCTATGTGTGTGTGTGTACCTACTTGCACGTGTGTAAGCGTAACGTGCACAGAGAAGCGGAGGTAGCAAGAAATGAAGGAAGAACTGAACCTTACTAGCATGGTAGCTGGAGACTTACTGTTCTAGACTCTTGTGAAGAAGGTCACCTAGAAATAAAACCAAAGACTAAAATTCATCAGAGAAAAGCTAGGAACTCTAGAAGCCCTAATCCACAGCATGAATAGTCTTCCAAGCATAATGAAAAACTTATGACCAGGAGAGAAGAGACTAAAATTGAGCAATGGGATTTTCTTTTTTTCTTTTTTTGCAATGAGATTTTCTAAGAATCAAATCCCTATGCACATCAAAAAGCCTCTCTCAACAGCATAAGAAGGAAATTCTAAGGAAGGTCTGATTGTAAAATGAGAAAAGATCGGGGCAGCTTCTCAACAGACCCTGGGCTGTAGAGCGTGATGGAAAGAACTCTGAGTGTCCCCTGTACCCATACCTAGAATAGAGCTAAGAAGATGACACATGAGGAAAGAGAAGAGACTGCCAAGAAGATCCAGGCCCGGTGTTGTGGCACACAGGTGTGCCGGAAGCTGCCATACAGAGGGGCCTATAAGGAGCAGGAGTGGGTGGTAGTGAGGCTGCAGCCCGGGGTCTGCCTGTGGTACATCTGCTGGAGCTACTGGCATGTGCTCAATGCTGCCTGCATGATTCATACCTACATCTGTCACAACCAAGGCTCTTTCAAAAGCTACTTCAGAGTCACTTCAGATGTGCTGCAGATGAAGCCTGATAGTATGCATGGCTCAGATGCTTGCAAAATGACACTGTCATTTTGCAATATAAACTTCTTCCCTCAGCCTCTCTCTGTCTGATAAGCTCCAGGAAGTCCCTGTCTCAGAGGAATGCCAGGGTGACTAATAGTAGCTACACCTAATAGGTCCATTCTGAGGCAGGAGCAGACTGGGATCCTATGTGGAGGACACTGAAAGGATGGGTAGGAAATATGATTGATTAATGATGTCTACCACAGGCAGGCACACTGGAGGTGCAGGATTGATGGCTCAGCTAATTCTGCAGATCTTCATTTATGAGAAGTTTATATTAATGGTGGCCTTGGAGTTGTGTGGCTTGAAGGAGGTGGAAGGAGACGTACTTGACTAGGAGTTTGTTGTCTTTAGTTTAGTGACTTGAATAATGCTTCTGCACCCCTCAACAGTTTTATTCTGGGGATCCAGCTTGATAGATACTCTCTCCTTTCCCAGATCAGAGACCCCAAATTCCTTCTAGTCCTTCACTCTTACTCTGTAAATTGGAAGATGAGGAAGATGTTTGTCTCCAATAGAGGATCATCCTAGTGTTTTGTTCCCACTCAGACTCCACTTGTTTCTTGCCCTCCTGTGTGTGGGTTGGGGCTCAATCTTGTCTAGAATCTACATTCTCAGATTTCTTCCTCTCCTTTCTCACTATTGCCACATCTCCTTCACTTTCAAAGTGTCCCAGTCTCCTCACCATGGAGGGTACAGGATCTGTCTTGAAGACTGAAGAGAAAGAATTCAAGCCCTGACAACTTTAGGTCCTCCAGAAAAACGAGCTAGGAGCTTGTATTCCATTCATTCATTCAAATAACAAGCAATTATTTAGGATCTACTGTGTCCCAGCACTGTGTGGCAGTCCTTGGAGTCACAAGCGTGATAAATGCCCAAGCTCTGTCCTTAGGAGCTAGTGAGAGGAGAGCCTGCTAGTAAACATGACTACGGTATGATGTGATGATCCCACAGGAGAGATGTGAGATGTGTACTAGGGCATTAGGCGTTTCAGGATGGGCAGATACACCAAGCCACCTCTAAAGGACCTGCTAGTGATGCCACTGTGCCAAGGCCAGCACCTGAGAGTCACCTAATTGAGATGTGGAGCCAGAGCAGAAAAAATAAAGGAAGCAGGGCCTGGTGGGTAAGGTCTGTCATAGTACAGACAATCCTAGGGAAAATACCTCAGCTAGTTGGAGGACTGGCAGCAGATGGAGAGGGCTGATGCCCTGGGATACTCACTACTGTTTTCTTCTTGTTCTCCTTTTTGAAGAGTTCTGCTGAGAATTTCTGGGGGAAATGTGGGAGGGGTTGTAGGGAAGGATAGAGGTGAGGTAGGGAATGAGGAGAGGTGCAAGAATGCTAGCATCTCAGCACCTGGCAGGGGATGGTCATCCACGATGGTCCTGAAGGGCTCATGTATCTTGTAACCTGTGCTACGTGCCTTACCTTGGCTCCAGCAGGCAGCCCCTACCATGCTTGCCCAGGCCCTTTATCTAGTCCACCTTCAAAGCCACCACTGATCCTCAGCTCCTGCAGTCCCTCCTTGCTGCCTACTGACTGTGGAATTCAAGGCCCCAGAGCTCTCTTTGTTCCTGGGGTTACTAAATCTGTCAATTTCCCAGCCTTGGAGCCTCTTCTATGCCTGAGTCTTTCCCCTTGCTGGGCTCCAGATGTAGGCTCTTCCTAGCATCTCAGGGCTCCTTGGATCTTAGTTCAAGGATGTCTACATCACAGACAGAGAGAATGGAAATGTTTAAAGTACCTTTAATGGGATATGGCTTAAATGCATACAGTAATAGGTTTCCATTTTAGGTGTACAGGTATTTTCCCGATTCATGGTCTCATTTCTGCCATTCAAGGATCCACTCTTTTGAGGCCAGAATTTTCCACTTCAAGAGATGGATATTTGGGTACAGGAGCTCTTCTGCTAGGCACGAGTTTACCAGCTGGTGTTTCTGTAGCAGTGGCTTCTCCCCAAACTTGGAGGACACCACCAGGAATTAGAAATGTCCCTGAAATACAGAATCATGTGGCGTGCCTTCTTCAGCATCTCATTTGGATACCTGGTGGAAGCTTCATCAAAGCATCCTTGCCTGTCCCTGGTAAGAGTACAGAGAGGTGACACTTAAGTTGACACTAGCAGAGTGCCCCCCCCCCGCTCCCCGCCTTACTTGTAATAAGTAGAAGGCGACAGCGTGAACTGGCCCACACAAGCAGCAAGTATATCCTTTAGAAGCTCAAAGCGATTAATCAGTGTTTACGCTCATAGTCATACAGCTACAGTTCCTGTGCACTTGGAGAAAAGTGCAACCTCCCTGAAGGGGAGAGGCATGGGTCTTCAACTTAGGCAAGTACTCAAATCATGTCTCTAAATGTTCAAAACAAAATACTGAAAGGGGAAAGTGCTTGCACAAAAAGCACACGGATGCCTCGACAACAAACCGTACAGCCATGGAGAACATCTGAGTTCAGCTACCCATTAGCCTACAGCAACCTCTCACAGAGGGCTCAAATCCTGGCCAGTCCCAGGAACACTAGCAAAGTTCAACAGGACAACAAATAACAAATGTTAGCAAGTTTGTGGGGAGACTGGAACTCTTAATCACTGCTGGTGGGAGTTTCAAATGGTATAACCACAGCAGTCTGGCTCTTTCTCAGAAAGTTAGAAATACCATTTGACCCAGCAATTCCACTACTAGGAATATACCCTAAAGAAACCAGAGCCATGAAAAACATAGAACTCATGAAATATGCAAAGTGGATGACCTTAGAAGACATTATGCTGAGTGAAGAAATATCTCAGTCACAAAAGGACAAATATTGCATAGGGCCACTACTGTAAAACAGGACTGACACTGGGGTTGAGGGAAGACAGAGAAGAAGGGGAGGAATGATGTATACTGCGTTGCAACAGATGAGGGAGAGAACTGTTTAAAAGGGATATATGATTAGGTATTACTCTCATGACAGGAGTCTAGAATGAAGGCTGCACAGTGCAGCGGACTTGGGGGAGAGGGATTGCATAGCAGTGAAAAAGTTTTTCTTTTATTTATCAAGGAGAAAAGTTAATTGGGGGGGGGGTGAGGGAGTGGGCCGGGATAAAAGTGCAGAAATGAATGACTAGAAACCCCAAGTCTCTGTAAACTTTCATGAAAATGAATAAAAATTAAAAAAAAGAAACCAGAGCCATGGCTCAAAAAGACGTATGCACACCTATGCTTATTGCTGTGTTATCCACAATGGCAAAGAGATATATGGAAGCAAACCAAGTGTCCATCAACAAACAAATGGATAGAAAACTATGGTACATTCAGGCAATGGAATATTGCACAGCACTGAAAAATAACAAACTTGTAAAACATTATACAACGTGGGGGAGTCTAGAGGACTTTATGCTGAATTAAGTATCTTGGTCATAAAAGGACAAATACGGCATAACATTGGATCGATTAGGCAACATCATAATAAGTGGAAAAAAGATTAACTGTCAACAACTTCATCTTAATTGGGTCCACAATCAACACCCTTGGTATCAGCAGTAAGGAAATCAGGAGACATACAGCACTTGGAAAATCTGCAGTCTATTATTTGGCATGTTGTTGTTATTGTTGTCAAGTCCAACTCATAGTGACCCTATGAACAATAGATCTGTTCTATCCTGTGCCATTCTCACACTTCCTGACACACTAGAGCCCATTGTGGTAGTAACTGTGTCAATCTACCTGCTTAAGGGTCTTCCTCTCCTATATCAACCCTACGCCTTTCTGAGCATCATGTCCTTCTCCAAGGAATAGCCTCTCTTTATATATCTTTATATCTCAAGGAATAGCCTGAAATATGTGAGGCGAAGTTTTGTCATCTTTGTCTTCAAAGAGTACTCTGACTGTACTTTCTCCAAGACATACATGTTCTTTTGGCAGGCCATAGTATGTTCAGCACTCTTCTCCAACATCACAGCTCAAAGGCATCAATTCTTCTTCTGTCATCCTTATTCCTTGTCCAGCTCTCAGATGCATAGCAAGTGATGGAAAGACTACAGCCTGAATCAGATGCAACTTAGTCCTCAAACTGAAATCATTACTCCTCGATAGTTTGGAGGAGTTTATAACTTCAGACTTTCTCAGCACAGTATGTCTCCTGATTTCCTGACTGCTGGTACGAAGGGTGTTAATTGTAGATTCAAGTAAGATGAAATTGTTGGCAGTTTCAGTCTTTTCTCCATCTATCATGACGTTGCCTATTGGTCTTGTGGTAAGATTTTTGTTTTCTTGATGTTCAGATGCAATCCATATTGAAGACTGTATGCTTTGATCTACAACAAGTGCTTCAAGCCCTCCTCATTTTCAGCAAGGAAGGGTGTATCATCTGCATAATGTACATTACTGATGAGTCTTCCTCTGATTTTGATGTCACATTCTTCTTCATAAGGTCCAGCTTTTGAATAATTTGCTCAGCATACAGATTGAATAGATATGGAGAAAGAATACAACCGTGGCACACTTTCTTCTTAATTTTAAACCATTTGGAGTTGGGACCAGTTCTTGGAGAAGGACATCATGCTTGGAAGAGTGGAGGGAAAGTGCAAGAGAGGAAGACCTGGATTAGATGGATTGACTCAGTGACTAGGGTAATGGGGGTAGTTGTGTTGGAGACGAAGAAGTCAGCTCAAGATAGAGTAGCATTCAGAGGTTCAGAGCTGTTGGACATAGGGTCGCTATGAGTCACAAGTGACTCAATGGCACATAACAACAACAACAACAACAACAACAACAACGTTCCTTTGCTCTGCACAACAGCCTCTTGGTTTAGGTATAGGTTTTGCTTGAGCACAATTAAGCACTCTGGGATTCCCAATCTTCTCAATGTTAACCATAACTCATTAGGATACATACAGTCAAATGCCTTTGCATAGTCAATAAAGCATAAATATGCATTCTTTTGGTATTCTTTACTTTCAGCCAGGATTCATCTTCAATCTGACAT